GACGCTTTCGGGATCCCAAATCCCAAGAAAAGAGGGAGAAGACGGAGGAAAAGAAGGGGCGTGAGAGAGGGAGAAGGAGAGAGAGGTGGAAGGCTTCTGCTCTTTGTTCTCAGAATCACGAGGGACAATTACAGCTGCCCAGGAGCGGGCAGTTCCCATACTGAAATACATTTAATTAGGGTTGGTCAATTCTTTGGGGGGGGGTGTAATTATACGATGAAGGAATAGTGCAGATGGTTTCATTTGAATACAAAAGGGCACAAAAAAAGTTCCGACCGAGAGGGACCCATTTTAGCCTGTTCCCTGCTCCCACCTCCCTTTGTGTACAGAGGCACACCCCCCCCGATTTCTGATCGCCGGGTGCTTGTGGACACTGGACTCCCCCCCCCCCTCAACACCACTTGTGCGGACCTGTATTTCAGGTGGACGTTATTTAGCTAGGCCGCTTCTCTGTGTTTAAGCTTGGCGTCGCCCGAATGTCTCTGCACTGGAGATCAGGCAAGCGCCTCACTGCCCTCGCGGGCACTGGCGGGCGATCCGAACCTGGCTGAGGGCCACCGAGACGAAACGCCAGCTCCGGATCCAATCCGGATCCGGGTGAGGCGCGGACGGGAGGGCGAGGAAGAAAGGGAGAGGCTGTACCCCCACCCAGCCGCCCGAGAATAAATCTCTCTCATCCCTGCTCCCCCGCGGAGAGATGAAAGACAGAGACGTGGGAGAGAGAGGGACCGGGAAGGGGGGGGGGGGGTTCAGCCAGGGCCCCCCCCCTCAAACCACACCGAGCCAGCGCAGCCGGTCATGATCCCATCCCCGGGGACCTGCACGGATGTCTGGGAAAGGAGGGGAGACCTCTTCACCTCCTGTTAACGGCCGGGTCTTTCCTACAGCGCGTGCTCGGGTCCCGAGGGGAAGGAAACCGCTGTCCCACAAGTCACCGAAACCCATTTTCGCTGCACTAAAAGTGAGGCCTTGTGCGACACTAAACTCCCCTCCACCCCACCCCACCCTCATTTCCGGACGCACTGCTGTACAGAGCGCCGTCTTCCTCTCATTAATCTTTATGGCTCTAATTGCTCAGCCTTCGCAGCAGAGAGCTGCAGGCCCCGGAGCAGAACTCCGCGGGAGGCGGCGCGAAACCTTCGGCGCTGGGGGGAAATGAGAAACAGATCCTCTCCACCCCAGCTCTGCGGTCAGTGCCCACACGCTCCCTCTGCGGGGGGGGGGACAGAGAGAGAGAGAGATCCGCAGTCCGGAAACCGCCGGATCCAGAGCGCTCTCACACCCCACCCCAAGAGGTGGCAGGCCCTGAGCCAGCCAGGGCAGACCGGGTGTGTTGCTCAACAGCGCCGCCCCTGTGGTTTGGCATGGGTAGGGCAACTGTGCACATGGAGTGGGATGAGGGAGAGCTGCGTGCGTGCGTGCACACGGAGAGTGTGAAAAGACAACACGCGCCCTGCGCACACCTCTAAGCCCGCACAAGTCTGGTACCGAGATCCCTCCCCCCCCCCAAACACTGCACAGATCATGCCTGCAAATCACACTCTCACCACAGGGGCGTTTTCTGTTCTGCCCCACGTCGGAGATCCGGATCTCCTCCCACCCAGAGACCTCCAAGGGTTCGGCCTGGGTCAGAGGGTTCAGCACGCACAGAACAACGCGCACGGAGCACATCGGGAAAAAAACCCACAGCATTTTCCACGC